TCTCTTCATTCCACAGCAGTGTTGAGCTGTGTCTTATACCCAGACATGGAGTAAAAAAAGCTGTAAACTCCAGAGCAGTAAAACACTTCAAAAACCTAGGTGCCCGTAAGTGGAGTCTTGCTGATATCTGAATGTAGGAAATCAGTTTAGCATCCAGTTTTTGGTTTTATTAACTCACCAATTTGGGTTCTGCTGTTAAATTTCCCTTGAAAACAAGCAGTTAAGTGCTGGGGTTTGTTTCCTTCTTGCATTTGGATGCACAGAGTAACTGCTGGCTCCTGAACACCTGCAGCCAGGCGTTGTCACACCTACATCTCTGCCCGTTCACAGGAACCCTCAAGCTCCTCCAGAAGTATTTCTTGCTTAACTGCTTTCCAGTGGACCAAAAAATAGGAGCAAGCAAATATTTAGGGGATTTTTATCTTTGAAACCTTCATCAGCAGTTTAAGCCATGTGGGCCTGTTTTGAAGGGGATGAGTAGGACTCACATGATTCCTTGCAACAGCTCCATGCGTGTTACAGGAGGGTGTAGAGGGGAGCTCCCTGGCTCAACTGGCTTCTGCTCATCAGCTGATCTGTGCTAAGTGACCAGCTTTTGAGCTGTTAGCTCATAAAAATTGCAAAGGAAAGCGAGTTAAAGTAAACTGTGTTTGTGGTTTAAGAATGGAAGTTGAAGCGGATACATTTTCCTTGGCACTCGCAGTGGGATAAGAGCACAAACCCCTGTCATATGATAGGGTTCAGTGGTGATGTAAGTCATAACAACCCAGTAGCTTGCAGCCATCTGGACATGACCCGTGATCAAGGAGACCTCTGTCCTTTCCCCACCTGGCTGTTACAGTTCAGGAGAGTGACTTTTTCTTCTGTGTTTTGAACTCTAATGCACACTGCCAAGGCACACCCAAGAATACTGATAAAAAGGAAAACCTATAATCTGACATTTTGGCTACTGACTATTTTTAGCTGACTCATGACTAGTGGTATTAGATCTTAGCTTGGCTACTAAATATTCCCTTTGAAAATTCATCTCATGCTGCTGTTTTCCACGTGTTGTTGTACATTGAACAGCTGTTAGGGCTTCTCTCTGCTCAGGTGAGGTTTAGCACAGGCTGGCACTCTGAAATCGCAAGTCAAAGGCTTACAAAAAAACAGGACTGCAAAGCATAAACTTCTAAACTTTATATGAACTAAAGCATAAAATGGTATAAATCTACTGTGAGATTTTATCAGCAACTTTTCCAAGCTGATAAATCAGTTTTAAGCTTTGTAGTGCTAGTAGTAAACCCCAGCTTCACTGCAGAATGCTGCTGGTTGTTGATGTTAACTGGGTTTTTTTTTCCCCCCTCTTGAACTGTCTGTCCTGGTAGTTGCACTGAATTTAGATTTTGCTTTTCTGGCATCATTGTTCGTGGAACTGATGAAATCATGCCAAAAAGAATGCAGTCTACCTACACATGTGTTCTATTAGCTGAAAGTTTCAGATTTCAGTGCACGTTTAATAAAAATACCAAACTGCAAAAATAATTAGAGTTTGTATTAACTAACACTTGAAGCCTTGGACCAGTGGGAATTTTTTTCACTTAGAATATTATACTTGGGAATTACCAGAAGTTTTCTAATTTGTCTCTCTCTTTCCTCTGATTACCTGCCTTCCTTTCTCCCTAACTTCATCCTTTTTTTTTTCCTTTGAGCATCAGTGTTCTGTGTCCCAGGAGCCTTCAGTGTCTGTCCTGCACAAGCCAACTTAGTGCCACAGTGTTTAAAAACACACATGGGGTATAAAGAAGCAAAAAGGACAATTTCAGTGGTTTGACATTCCTTGGTTCTGCACTTTAGACATTCCATTTTGCACATCCTCACAGCCAGTGTTTCTCCAATTTAGAAATTAATTAAAAAGACACCAGGCAAATGGTCTTCAACTAATAGCCTTAGTTTTTAAATTAAAAAGTTAATGCACTTTAAAATCTAAAATATGATCATATGTATTCCTGGAGAGCTGACAATTTGTTCTGGTCAGTGAATGGGAAGTTAATAAGAGTAGCAGCATTTAGTTCACTTAGTAGGAGTACCTCTAGGTAAGTTGGAAGCAGCAGGAGAATCCAGAACAAACAGCATGTGGGATGGGTTTAGCAGAAAAAAAGCTGGCTGGCGTAAATTGCTGTTGGTAGTATCAGTCCTCTCACTATCTGCTTTTGAAATAACCATGCAGAATTGCTTCTGCTACATTACATTTTTCAAAAAGAAACTTGGCCTCTTACATAATTGTAGCCACAGTCTCTTCCAGGCAAGTGTGTAATCAGTGGTGCGCTGAGACCCATCTATAACTGCTAAGTTATATATACATAGAGAGAGTGGGGATCACATTAATAACACATTTTCCTGCTGCTTAACGAGGTATTTGTACGGAGCAGTGATTTTTCTGAACTTTTACTCTGCCCTTTATGGGAGCTCTGAGGTGTAGAAGAGTTCAGATGGAAGGCTATGGAGGTAGCTCACCAAGAAAAGCATCCTCACATGTGTAATGATTGTATGAGAGCGTATGGATCTGGGATCAGGAAAGATATTCTTGGAAAATTGCTGTAGTGGTGGAGAAAATGGAGCAAGATTTCAGTGGTGTGAAGTAGCAGCCAGGTGCTGTTGGGCTGAAAGGTTGGAATAGAGATGTGTAGGAGAAAGACATCAGCGAGAGTGGCTTTAATGTCCTCGGGAGGAGCACGACCCTGATGCCTCGTTCAGATCAGTTTTCAATGCACACAGTACACCCTGTAATGGAGCTCAGGAGGAGATGTGACCTCATCACCTAGGTTTCAAACATCTGTCCTGTTTCTGTACTCTGCTCTAGTCTGAAGCGAAGGGTAAGCTGTTAAATCTTAGAGGAATGGAAAAGGGAGAGAAATGGTTCCAAATGTTCGGGGGGAAAAAACCCTATTCTGGTCCTTCCATGCAGTGTCCAGTGAATCTTAATTTTGGCTGGGTCAAACTAAATTGAAAATAAGTTTGTTTGTGGAGGAAATTATTGAGAAACTGATGGGGCTGTCTTAAACCAACTCATTTAACTCCTGGTTTTTGTATCTCTGTTTACCCCTCTGATCATTATGGAGATAGTCATACACTTTGCTTTTCAGTGGGTGCACCACAGTTTTTAAGGTCAAATTTAATCCATTACTTAAGCATGGTTTTAAGTCATACAAACAAACGTGCTGACATATTAACTCAGTTTCTGCTCACTTTTATGCATTTTGCAAATGTCATTTTATTGGGGAAGAAAGAGCTTAATATATTTTATGAATATGCATTTTAATTGCCTTTACTAAGCCTTTGGAAGAGCTGCTACAGTTTCTATCAATATTAACAGCTTCAATAATAATACATTTTCCAAAACAGAGGAAAGAACTATCTTCCACAATTCTGCATTTTTATATAACACATCTAATTAAGAAATTCTAGGCTGAAAAATCTTAACGTTCTTTATTCAAGTTCCTCAGTCAACAATTACTACAGTATATAGAGGGTTTTCCCCATCCCTAATTTCAAGCAGTAGAGGGCAGTAGTATTAAGATGATGGTCAGGTTTTTTTTTCTCCGGCTGAGCTGGCAGAGAGGAGGAGGAAATGTGGAGTGGAGGAAGCTGCCCCGACAGCAGTGTGGAGTGCGGCGGGCTGGGGACCGAGCGGGGCTGTGC